TCTGGCTCTATAATCCCAAAAAGCGAAAAGGTTGTTCTCCCAAGTTGCAGCAGTTTTGGGAAGGTCCATACCTCATTATAGAGAAGATCAATGATGTCATTACCGTATAAGCAAGATTCCGAGGGGAAAGCTGATGATAGTACACCATCACCGGCTGGCGTCTTTCGAAGGTGACCACGACGTAGATGAAGAAGTGGAAATCAACCAAGTCTAAGATGTGTCTGACCTCACGTTTGAGGAATTCATGGGTGTCTATGGAGGTACCAGTAAAGCAAGACATAGTATTACCACTGAAGAAAGGCAAGATCTACTCGCGCTTTCCGATGACTACTCACTGGCCCTTACCATCCCGGACAGTATCAAAGACGCGCCAGGGTTGGCATCCGTTTTTCGAAGGAAGTTTGGTCGAGTTGCAGAACTTCAATGCCAAGTGCCAGCTCCCGGTAAAATCTTGAAACTTCAAGATGCATCTTAAACAATGGTTCAAGATGCTTTTGGCTTTTCTACCTGGTAACAAAAGACACTGCCCGTGACCAACCTACCTACCGAGATGTATGGGAAGCCTTACTTCAATTGAGAGAGCACGTACTAGAGTCCGACGTTCAAAAGTTAGCCATGCCAAAGTTGAAGTGCCACCAATTAGATTGAAGAGTTATCCTAAATATGGTGGAGGAGATCTTTAAAGGCACCTAAGTCCAGGTGTTAGTCTGTTGCAATCCGCATAGTTACTGGTGCGGAGAGAAAACCGTCCCTTGTCATTTTTATACAACTGGAAGTTGTAAAAGAGGGTCCAGTTGCCGATACCAGCATACCGTTCCAGTTCCAGTCCCGACAAGGCTCCAGGAGGAACCATCTTTTAAGAGGGGGGCAATGTTACAATAAATTCTGACCCAAAACCGTAAACATATTTATTACTAATAATCTTATTCATTCACGTATTTTTTAGGTCATATACTACCGATTCGAACTCTCCAGAAGGGGTCGACTAAAAACTTCAGGTAACATCAACTGGTCCGACTCTTCGAAGAACATGTTTACATTCTAAACCAGTTCGAGATCATTTGCCGTTGTGGGATTTTCGTTCCTAGCCGAGAAGGTCATCGAACCTCCGACGGTGTTCTAGTCTTACAGCTGTGTTGGTATAAATAACGGAACTTTCATTGTGGGGGATTAGTAAGAAGATTATTTAGCGCGCCGCGTTTTAAATGTAACGTCGTATAAATAAATTATGTAATTATCAGTGTAAGATAAATTATTAGTATAAATGAACTTTAAAAATTGTAAGTGTTATAAATATAGAACCTTTGATGGCTTTGATAAATCATAAGAACAATAAATTAGAATTAATAAAGACATAACAATACTCATTTAATTGACTATGTTGGATTTTGTGATAGAAATGTTAATAGAAGAATTACTCTTCCAAACTAACAGCACTTGTTAGTATAATTTTCTAAATGAAGCAAATATAGAGGAGTATACCAACAGCATCTACGAAGACCCTACTGGACCTTCCTCAACTGCACATCGTTCTAAAGGGGAGCCGAGAATGGGATATTATATTCTGCGGGAGAACCTGAGTAACAAGTAAAAACACAGGCCTAAAGTATCAAGAATATGCAGTTTCTCCTGCTTATCGTAGAAGGCGACTAAACAAGACCAATCCCACTCTTATCTGGTCGCAGCGGGCCAAGCTAGGGACTTCTTATCAGGATGCGCTTGTAACCAGAACTGAGAGACTACGGATCTCAAGCATTTTCAACTACCCTTTTCCATGGCAGTCATTCCTAACTGTCACGTATCTCCCATCCATCTCCCCCCATAAACCACCATCATCATCATCAGTGGCATTACAGCTCGTTATGAGCCAAAGCCTTCTTCAAACCAATCATTCATTCGCCCCTGTCTCAGGCAACTCTTCATAAACCCCTCTCTCATAAACCACCATACCTTCTTCATAACCACAGAAGACAACTTGTCGCTAAATAAAAACCGATGGAGAAAACCAGCGAAAAAAATTCGCAATTTAAAGTTGGGGACACCGTGTTGAAGGAGGTGGGACAACACGATACGTAATCTCGATTGGTTCCCTCCAGACACCTCCGGTTGTAAAAAGCCTTACTTGCTTAAGCATGGCTCTGTACAGTGTGCGCATTAGACAGCACTTTTTTGTAAGTTTCACCGGGGGTGTGGGAAGAAGATGAGCAGTGGGACGCTGTCTGGCAAATTATAAAGTGTACAAGCATTTGTAAAAAATTTGTAAAAATATTTTTTTATTGTACAGAACTTTTAATGTACTTTTATTATGATATGTACTTTTCGAGAAAACTGGAAAGCCGAAAATGGCGTTGACATCTGTCAGCCCACCCGCTTGCTTGTAAATGCAGCTTAAAGTAAATAATCCTAGCGGTACCGTTCCTTAATATGGGGTACCCTTAAGATACCTTTAAGTACCGTTAAACACCCAAAATGCAGCACTACCAAAAAACTTTCGTTGCCACACAAATTATTCTAACCTTAAACGCCGAATAAGGGAACAAGTTTGCGCAAAAAGAGAGAATGGTTACCTCCTGGCAAGTTGGTGTTTTTTTTTTCCATAAGATATATGTCGGAATCAGTACTTGCGCGAAAGCGACCTATCCCATATTATGAACTATCCCCATACTAGGCGACTCTCCTCTACTACCAGAAAATAGTTTTGGACGACCTGGGCTTTTTCTCTATCTCTAAGATACTTCTTCTTTCCCCATAATGCTTATACCGTTTTCCAAAGTAAAACACTTGATCGTCAGGATTTATACAAAGTGACGTCACTTGTATTTAAAATTTCCAGAATATCAACCTTAGAGTTCAAATTTTCCTAACACAGCTAATAATACGAAACCCATACGGAACTGCTCGATCTTTCATAGGCGTCAACATGGTGTAATAATCAGAAAAATGTAATCATCATTATATTGGAAATTTTGGAATTATATTGATTAAATAACCAAAAACATTTGTTATTATTAATAATATAAATTTTATGAAATAACTTTTTAAGTCTAATATTTCACAAAATAGTCATGTTAATTAAATATATTAGACAATTGTACGCAACGATACGGAAATACTTCAAATCTTATTGACAGTTCAGCGCGTGGCAAAAGTGTATTAAGTGTTGCCACTTTTTAGAGTAGAAATTTTGTTTATGTTTTGATTTCATACACAATTTGATCATAATATAATATATATTATTAATTTGTATTTAAAAATATTAAATTTAGATTAATACTTTTAAAAACTAATTACTGTTGTGTATTGTAATTGTGATATGCGAAAACAAATAAATTAGTCTGTAGAAAGCTAATAAGCTTTCATATAAGATATATTATTTTGAACAAGGAATAATGGCGGGACGTTTTTACTATTAAAGCCCTAAAAGAGGTAAGTTTAAAATTTAGAATATATAATTTTGTATTAAAATGTTTTCCTATGTATTTTAACGTGTTACAGTAGTCTTAAAACTAAGTGTATTTACTGTTAATATAATAGTTTGACAAATAGTTGACATTTTAAAAATTCCTCACTTACTAACTATTCTGATGTTTTGGCAAGGCTGTGTGGTTCTGACGACGTAAATCTTAAATGACGTGCAAGCTTTTTTATATGAAAAATGCTATACCTAATTATATTCCACACTGTAGTTTTAGGAATATTAAGTTAATCTGCCACTTAACGGATTACGGAAAAAAATTTTACAAACTTACAATTTTGTTAATTTGCAGCGATACCACCCATAATTTTATTAAAATAATATTGCGATTCACCCGATTTTACAAGAAATTAACTGTGTAATATATTAGTGCCGTTTGTTATCTCACTATTTAGTTGTCACTAATTTTTATATATTTTGATTATCTTTAGGTGTAGGCACATATAGGTTATATAGGTTGCATAAAAGGATATTAATTACGTTTTGCAATTGTTTATCATTTAAAATATTGCTTATTTAGCATTATCATAATTATTAAAAAAATAATAAATTAACAGTCACACACCTAAATTTGTTATATATTTTTTTAATTTGTCACGATATAGTTGTTAGGGCTCGTAATCTTGTATTTTTTAATTTAATTGGTATATTAATAATTTAATTGTTTAATACATTGCGTAGTACGTATACTGATAATCCAATTTACACGTGTATTATTACTATGTTTTGCATATATTTGTTAATATTTTTCTATGTACTCGCGCCACCTCCTTATGGGGCGTATTCCATAGTTTGAGAAACACTGGTTTAAGGCATGTTTAAGGTTTATGTCACATTAAATTGTACATGTTGATGTTGATAAATGAATAGTTGAAATCGTTTGATTATGATTTTTACTTTGTCATGTCCCTTTCAGGTTTTTACACATTTGTAGAAGAACTTGGGACTTCAAATAGGAACGAAACTGTACTTTCACTTAATAAATTAAGCAATTTAAAAGGCAATTTTTACTTTTATTGCTGCTCAATCGGCAATTTATTTTTGAACATCATTTTGATTTTCACCAATAATCGATAAAATTCACATCTAACAATATATAAATCGATTTATGTTTCAATCGAAAAATAACAAATGAAGTTACACTAAATTTTTAAATAATTATTTAAAGTTAAGGTTAACTTTAACAATTCTATAAGTAGAGATGTTTTAAAACTTTAATGGTAATCTTATTCTTATTGTCATAATTTAAAAAAATATAATCAATATTGAAATCGATTAACATCTGAAGAAAAGAAGATAGAATTATTATCGATGCCAAGAAATAATTGGAATGTAAATTAATTTCTCAAAATTATAAAAATTTAATAAAAGCTAACTATATTAAAAAAATTGTTAATATATAATTGTTTTTAGTAATTATAATAGGGTAATTTGAACCATATTTTACAATATTACCTAAAATTAAATAAAATAATAAAATTGACGTGTACGAGCATGCGCACGAATAAATTTTCATTTTTTTAGTATAGGCGTATTTTATTGAATTTTTAAATGTTAAACCATGAAAAACCATTCCCTTATTGTAGTTCTATGCCCTTTTATAATTTTCAACACGAAATATATAAAAAATTGCGTACATTCGATACTATATGCAATAATTATTCATCTCAAGCCCTCATTCACCAGAGTGCTTGCACGACGCAAAGGAGCGCCATTTTCTTAACCTTAAGGCGGGGATATGTGAATTTGTTATTAAATATGTGTCCCTTCATGAATGTTGGATATTTTAGTCCAGAACGTCAACGGTTGTCGTAAAGGTACGTGAAAAGTGTTATTATCAGTTAGTTTACAATAGGAACTATTTTTAAAATAAGCCAACTCTTTGCTTTGATGTCCTTGCTTTGTGGCAGATATATTATGAAACGGTAAATATCGTTTAGAAATATTACTTTCTGTTGTAAAATTTGAGGCCTGTTTAATTTGACAGTTCAGTTTTTAGAAAAGCTTACACAATTTTTTGTTTGCAGATAACAAGAATCAAAGTAAATTCGTTATGGAAAATGGTCCAAAGGACCCTTTTTTAGAAGCATGGGTGTCAGAGCACACAAAAAATGGAGTAGTGGCCCCTGTAACAACAAAATTCCCTGGCGGGAATGATGCTACTAATCAACTAGAGAAGTTAGATTATGAAGTTCCAAAAGTTAATGGGGATAGCACCAGAATTAGTAATATAGAAGAGAATTCTTATAGTTCAGAAAGTGACGCTTTAGTAATTAATGAAAGTGATAACAGGCAAGAAAGTAGTAAAACTGAGTTATACAAAAATTTGACATTAAATAATAGTGAAAAAGACATTTTGAACAATGTTAGTGAAACAGTGACTCATTCTAATCCATACTTTAATGAATCTCTGTTTGAATTATCACAACTGCACCAAAGCAGCCAGGAGGAGGAATTAGTAGTTAATACTAAAGACAACAAATGTGAAAAAAGTGTTAAAAAGTTAAAAAAGAAACTTAAACCAAAACAAAGAATAACAGAGTATGCTCAATATTTAGGTTTACAACCTTCTGTTCAGTTTAAGTGCTTTAAGTGTAATAGGGCAGGTTTTGAATCATTACCAAGTTTACAGGAACATTTAGTTCAGTGTGATGAAGAAAATGTTCAGGAAGTGTCACAGGATAATAATTATTCTGGTTTTAAGTTAACAAGGAAAGTGTTTTTGTGTTCTGCATGTGGTACATACTATGAAAATTGGAATTTGTACATACATATGCTGGAGTTCCACAAAAGATTTATATGTTTATACTGTTTAGGAATGTTTTCAATTTTAGAAGATCTGTGTCAACATATTCAGTCTAGACATAATCTCGAACCTGGTTACAAAAATACACTTGATGAATTTTTTAATGTTTATAATGAACCTTGCTATTTAGCTTGTTGTGAATGTGACAAACTCTTTAGTGAACAAGACAATTTTTTCTATCATAATTGTACTGGTAAGAATAAATTTAAAAAGCAACCAGTCAAACAGTTGATAACCCCTGAAAACCACGTAACAGGAGAATCTGAGACAATTATTGAGAATATAGAAGAAGAAACTGAAAATTCAGAAAATACACAAGTTATGGAAAACTGTAATATGCAAGGTAAGTATTAAAAATTATATGGCAATAATATAGAAAGACTTCCAAAATGATTTAAAAGACTTTTTACTTTTTGTCCTGAGTCATGTGTTTTTGTTATAAGTAATAAATACTTTAAATAAAAATTGTAGTACTGTTTCTGTAAGATATGTGTAAATTTCAATAATATGTTAGATATTTAGACTTCTTAAAAATGAACCAAATTCACTGGCCAAACATAAAATGAAGATTAATTCTACTTACAATATAGAAAGAACTTTTTGACAAAATAACAATAATTTTAGGTATAGTTCCTCTTAAAACATTTTCAATTTTTAAGCTCTTAATCAGTGCAACACAGTTCTGTAAGTAACAACTTTTATTATTTTGCTCTGATTTGAACAATTCATGACAAATTTTTTATCAATTAATGTAGGCTTACAGGATCAGTGTTTTTGTATCAATGTATCAAGGGCAATGGGGGTACAAGCATACATGTAACCTATTACCGCTCTAGTTGATCACTTTTGATCTTTTAGAGCATCTGTGCTATTTGTAGCGATCTTTTATGCCCTCTGGATCTGTCACTTGGCCTGAATCTGAATTAATGAAGAAGTTTTGTATGTCATAATGCTGAGAGCAAGATTCTGTAGCAAATGATCTCTAACGCCAATTATGACCAACAACTAGATTCAAAAGGATTCTTATCACATATTAAAAATGCATACAGATCAAATTGCCAAAATCTTATTATACCACATCAAGTTCATATCCTTTTTATCTTTTTGTATGATAGTTTCATACCCTTTATCAGCTATACTCTGTTTTTTAACCAGGAGGAGCAAACCAAAAAGACAGATTCAAACCCAAGAAAGTTACTAGAAAAGTCACCAAATAACATCTTCTTTTTTTGTTGATTATCTCGTCTTTGTGGTAATCAAGTAATCAATATCGGACAACCTTCCACGTCAATTCTAACCTAACTTTGTTTATTTATGCTTGAATAATTTTTTTCAATTCACTTCCAATATTATAATTATTACAATAAAAAAAGGATGGTTTTCACATTTGGTCCCAAGTATATATATTTAAATATCGTGTGATCCAATTTTATAGATCTCTGGTAGTTGAGTCTATGGTATTTAATTATAATTTAGAGAACATTTTGATCCAGAGAGTCAATAATGTTACAGATCTAAGTATGGTTTTTCACAGAAAGTTGTCTTTTAATTTGCAAATAGATCTTATATGCAACAAAGCTATGCAAATGTATGTATCAAAAAGTTAGAGAGTTCAAAGATTTCTGAAATACTGTTCTTTTAAACGCTAGACATATTCTATTCTGATGTGATCATTTCTTGATCTAGGTTTTTTCTCTACCAGAAGAGTTAACTTTGACTTTGATCATTATTTTTAAGCTTGATAATCCAATCTCCTGAATTGCTTCAGCCAATTTGTTTTACATATTCCTTCCCATTCACTGCTTTAGAATTCTCACTTTCGTGTTTCCCATCACAGAATAAATTATGGTTCAAATATAGGTGTTGTCCTACTTTTCATGCATGGTAATTAGTTACTTACCTCATTAGATAGATTTGTTTAACTTATGTATTAATATCTTTAGGTTATATTTGAAGCACTAAAATACAAAAAGATACTTTGTATAAATAAGTGTGTACTTCCAATTTCTTTAATGCTAGATTTTTGTTTAATTTTGACAGTGAGTTTGTCCCATTTATTATCAATAAATAAAATTAACCAAAAAATACTGGATTTCTGTGAGATAATCAACAAATTCAATCTGTTATGTTACATTGTAGAATAATTTTGCAGTTTTCTTGTGATGATCTACAACCAGGAAGAACAAAACCAACTATACCAATACAATCAAACTAAAACACAATATTACTTTACTAATGTTCTTTTATTGTGTTGAAAACAAAATGAAAATACTTCTTAACCAGTATACACTAAATTTAAAAGATAGTTGTCATTTTTCTTATGATAATTAGATATAAATAACATACATTTATAAATTTATAAACACTTTAAACTATATTTAGTATAAATATCATCTTAAAAAATATCACATTAAATACTATTCACATACCAAAAAGTCCAAGTTATTACAAACAACTTAAAAGAGAAATCGATTTATATACTAGAGGAAAATAATATTCTGTGCATAATATAATATATTCGGAATGTATGTAGAAATAAAAATTTAATAATTGTATTAAGTAGTCTTTAAAAATATCCTCCCCATTTATGTCTTGGTGAGGTTCATGAACAATTACACCATTTTGAATTTCTTTATTTAATTTTTTTAGCAAAAACTAAATCTATTTCAGATATTTGAGCAAGAAAGTTTTGTTTTTAGTCAACAGCCCAATGTATAAGCCATTCTTTGAATAATTTCACCTAAAAATAACTATGGTAAGACATTGAAAATACAGACAATAAATCAATCATCCTAAACAGTAAGATAATCAATCTATAGTTATGCTATGCAATATTTGCTGCAATGAATCTGCTTATATGTAAAGTAGAAAATATTCTTTTTTTCCTTTTCTTCCCTTTCCATGTTTATATATCTGTTGAACCAAAATACTTGACAATATTCCAGTAGAGTATATAATTAAAAACTTAAAATTTATTTTATTTAATAAATTACTTTATGATATCATTAATTAGTATACTCATCATCAAACATACCAAGTATAATATCTATAAATGAGAACAGTGAAATGTAAGTACATAATACTTAAAATGAAGATATTTGTACACTGGTATTTTTCCAAAAACATGTAACACAAAGGCTGTTGTACTTATGTTTATAAATAGGAAAAATATTTTGATCAAACCAGAAGGATACTATTACAATTATTTCTTATGTAACTCATAAATTTTAATTATAAAAACTATTTAGTAGAAACAATAATATACCAGATTATAAAAATGAAAACTATAAAATGGTATAGATAATTTTACTATATAATTGCAGCTAACTCATATTTACTTACTTCAAATTGATTTGCTGCAAGAATTTATATAATAATGAACTACACATATTTTGGAAGATCTGAGCTGTTGTTAATTTCCCTTAAAGTGGTCATTTCATTCTTGAAAAAGAAGCTGTGTGCTATCTGTCTTACAGATGTTTTAACTCTTTCATCTAATGTTGTAAGAATAGAAGGTCGACTGTCAATATGTTTAGGACATCTTACTGTTCCAGTCTGCTTATATGCTTTAATTGTTCGGTGAATAGTTGCATTTGCAACACCTAAAATTAGCACATTACTTTATTAAGTCTTGATTTTAACAACTATTCTGCAAAACTAACCTGCTGTTTGTTTTATTTTTGTTACTGTGGCTATTACTTTCATTCCAGAACTATCAATTTTCATTATTTGTTTGTACATGTATATACATTGTTTCTCAATTGATGATAAATGACTCAAATCTACTCGGCGTTTTTAAGGTGGAGAAGAATAATTACCCCTAGTACTTGGCATTGAATCAATATTGTTATCTTAATAACACTAATATATCACTGAATAGTTCTGAAAAGAACTGTTTTTTATATAAATGCAAACCAAAAATCTAAAAATATAAGGAATAACTCAGAAAATGCAAAAAATCGTCGATATAAATTTTGAATTTTAAAATTTCACAATGTCATTAGTGTCAATATGTCATAATTTAGTGGAGTAAACTTGCCTGCCGTTGGACCAATTAAAAACAAGCATTACCACGCGTAAAATTTGAATTACTCCTCCTGGTTAAAAACAGACCATATATTACTGCAGTCCATCAGTTAGAGGTACTCAAATATGAAGTCAAACTAAAAAGAAGGCTGGACACCTAATTTTTGTAAAGCTAACATAAATCAATTTTATAAGGCCAAACTAGAGTAAACCTGTAATATATTGCTAAGTTAGAAGGAAAAATATATTTACGTATTTTATTTCTTTTTAACTGTTCTCTTATTGTTTATCTATGAATCTCTAAAAAAAACAAGGAATCCTTCTAGACCAGTGGGATAAAGTATACAGTTATTATCGTTATTATTATAATTTCAAACTGTTATTATGAATAGTAAAAACCAAAAAACAAATTCCTTAACAAAATGTAATGATTTAAGTATTATTTTATGACTGATAATGGAAAGGGCACAAGTCACACTTTTTTTAATATCACTTTTTGGGCCATTTTATTTCTTGAAGCATTCTACATGTTTTCTGTCAAAAGAACACATCTTCATATGCCACAAGTCAACATAAAAAGCAAACAAAAACTGAAATCTGTTTGAAAATGGCACGATTCCTGGACTTACGCCCCTTTCTAATAAAAAGGAACATAAGTTTTAATTAATGGACTTTGTATCCTTTATGAAATAATAGGTTGAATTCTAATATTAATCTTATTTTTTATGGCAAAAGTATAGAGAAAGTGCTGATGAAGTTGGCTATAAACGTCATGTCAAATCTGTGTTTACGGTTTTGCCATGTCCTTATTATGTATATGTTTTATGCCTCAAATATGCTTTGAAACAATACATTTTTATTATATTATTTTATGAAATTGGGTATTTTTAAAACAATTTTAAATTAATATAAATCACTGTAAACTTTGTGGATGAATAAATTCTATCTATCTATCTATCTATCTAACATGAACAAATGAATATTTGTTTCTTTTGATATTAGTTGCAGTTAGTTATTAGAAAAAAAATTATAATTGGTCTTTGTTAGATTAGCAAATAAACTTGGCAATACTGTCAAAACTTTGAAAACACTAGCTGATAGATTGCAACAGATGTTCAGCAGATTTCAATTTTATGACAATTTTCTTATAATTTTGGGATGAAATGGTACCTGAATAAATGCTTAAACAATCAAAGTTAATTTAAATTATAATAAATTAAATTTTAATTAATTAAGCTCCTTTTAAAAACTTAAAAATGATGTTTAATAACAATAATTAATATTATATCGCATGCTCTTTCGCGATTTATTTGTGAT